AGTTAAGACAGAAAATAATCTGAAATCTACCTAAAACTTAAATAATTAAGCAATCAACTCACCCAAAATGTTTAAGGATTGATGGAAGAGTCTCAGACAGTTGGTCCATGGAAGGGTACTCATATCTATAAAAAATTAATTCTTATTCTTCTGCATTAATTTACAATAAAGATGTCCACTTATATGTCTATACGTGATATAACTCACCCAGTGGAGAAGGTGTTTGCTCCCTCTTGCTGCCCTGGTGCATCTACATGACACACAGCAAAGTGCTGCATGATCTCTTGCATATCCTCATGGCTGAACAAGGTGTCAAAGCAGCTTTTATCTATTGGAGAAGCATAATTTATGCATTAAAGCCTGTCTCCTTTAGAAGAATCTCTTGATTAATGTGTTGTAAAGCAACACAAAGCGATTTAGGGGGCATTTTAAACTGATAAAATCTTACGGTTCAATCCAATATCGTGGTAGGTGAGGATGACGGGCCGGTCACCCTTAGGAACCCCTTTCATGGTACAGTGGACTCTGCCATATGGAGTCTCCACATCATGTTCCTACATGCAACATGATAAGAAAACACTTATCAGCATCTGCTGAACCATCATAAACAGCATTAATCTCATCTGCAGTACAACGTATTATAACAGCGCTTATATCAATAACAACTTATGAACGTTTTTTTCTCTGTGCATATAACACCGCTTGGTTTTAAGACCGTTTTAACAAAGTAGCCTTGTAGTTTAATGTAACATTTAAGGACAGGCACAATTCGGAAACATTCTGCAAATGAACCACAGACAAACTGCAAACATTTCAACATTTAATGCACTTTGCTTTTAAATCTGTAACCTGTAAAAATCACAGATCTATGAAAACGGCCTGCCTGATTTCATAATGTTCAACTGCATCTACCGATTTCACAAAACATCAAACCCTAATTAAGACTGACACAGCCAATATTAAATCAATTTTATAAATGTGTGCTGTACGAGATAAAAAAGATAAAAGGAACAAAATGAAAATGTAAACGATATTATCCAGATCTAATCTGCTTAATCCGCCTGTAAAGCATAAAGAAATTAAGAGATTATAAACATCAACATTTAAAAAAATTGTGCATTGTTAAAAGCACTATACAAATAAATCTGACTTGAATTTTTGTCAAAATCTAAACTTTACTCTTTGCTCACCACTAAGACAA